CTTCAATTTTTAAAGTCTAGTTTTTATAGTGAATAGCGCATCCGATCAGTTACCATGAAAGTATTTATAGAAAAGCCACAGGGACGCTAATTACGGCGTTACTCTTGATTAGTGAGTTCGATCCTAACTGAGTGTCCAATACTAAATTCGACATTAAATAAACGAACCATGCTTGACATAATTTAAGATCTGTAGATCCGAGTTGCCTTCAGGTAAATACGAACTGAATCCCTTGATTAATCAGCGGAGGAACATTGATCGCGTTCAGTTGTCCGTATCTAGGTATATCTCAACTTCTTTAATTTCACTATTTCCACCGAGTTTGACTTGGCACTACCCGAAATATGGTTAAGGCGTATTTAATTTAATTTATTTTTTATTGTTAGTGAATCATTAACACTTTATTTTTCTGTTTCGAATTATAATATCCAACTCAAATTTTAATGCCAGATCTAATTTAAAATTCACAAATGTGATTTTCGTTTGCTACTAACTTCTGGACTTGTAATGTATGCAAATATTACCAAGTAAAAGTCTTAAAAGAAATTGTCTGACTCACTATTCTGACCTTTAACTTGACTTTCTCTACTGGTAGAAAGCACTGAAACAATGCCGTAGCATCTGGATTCTGTTTTATAATGTATTTTTTTGTTTTGTTTTTCACATGGAGGTGAAGATAGATATTTTTTTTCCAATTCTGTCCTCTTATTTTATGAATTTCAGTTAACATTTTTCATCTCAGATAAAGCACTGACTCAGCAAAGTTTATCATTTATATCTGAAATATATACTTAGGTATTTATTTATTCATCACGAACTCGAAATAGTTCTATTTGATAATTCTGATTAAAAAAAAATTTCGGATACGGAATCATCATTTATACAGAGCGTATCAAAAATACTTTTACAAACTTCCGTTCCTCAAACCAAAATAAGGTCAAAAGTCCTCATAATCAAACGTCAACAAATCCTTCGTTTTTTTGTTTAAAGAAAGTTTATAATAGATGGCGCTGTTTTGCCTTGCATACTAGGTTACATTTGTCATTCGTGTACATTTGTGGCTAGTCTGTCTTCAGCGTTTAATGTGTGCAGTAGTGAGTTACCTGAGAAATGTTCCGTTTAAAAATGGCAGCATATTCATATCGTGAACACACAGATATGAATTTTGTAACGGCAACGCGAATTGTAATGGATATGAGGCTGCATGGCTGTATCAGATTTCGTTTCCAGACAGAAAGTAGCTGAGTCATCAACCTTTACTGTCGTAATGGAGGTACGAGTAATGGATAGCGGCTTGGATTGAGGAATCGGAGAGCCGAGTTCGAATTCCAGTCGAATCCATTACATTCACTTACGTGCTAACACCCTTGGGAAAGGTGTGAATCCTCTTTTTTCTCCCTCCAGCTGTGGGTAAATGGCAGGACAGACTGGGTTCTATAGCCTTGGTCTAGGAAAAAACTCTGAATTCAAAACCTGCTCTTGAATGAGGGTGAATGGAGTTTCTCTGAGCCTTGGTTGGCAATCCATTTAGTGTTGGTGTCACGATAAAAAACACCCTTGATAGCCCTAGCGAAGCATCAAGAATTCAGCTATTGACAAGATTATGAACTACACCAATCAAAGTATTAGTGAGTTCAATCTCGGCTGAGGCCGCAAGATGTGTGTTACTGTCGTTTATCATCGCGTTGCAGAGACAAGATCCGTAGCAACCGAAAGTTTTTAAAATTATTTTTGTATTGCATTTTGTATTATTCATTTAACAGCGACTACCGTAAACTTTAACCATAATAACACAAAAACGAACGATTTTGCGGACATATGATTATATGGACCATTTGCCCTGGTTATGCTGTGAGGAACACGCCCCGAAAGTTTGTAAAACTATTTTTGATACAGCCTGTATACGCCTCGCGTAGCTGTAATCAATAATCCTATTGGAAATATGTGTCTAAGCCTTTATTCAATCCACGGTGGAAAATGGCCCACATTCAGTTCACATTCTTGTCGAGATATTCTAAATCAGTTAATATTGACGTTGTGAATTGTTATAACCTAAGAAAGGTTACTGAATAGAATAATCAAACGAAACTTGTTAATGAACGATAATACTTAGGACAAGAACAACACATATAAGATTCGCCAGCAGCGCGTAGAAGTAATCAACTGTTAGAAGTGTGTCAAGTGAATTCCACAATGAATCTCCGACGGCAGGATATCTACCAACCGCTCCACGCGGTCAGATATGGCACAAGGCTAAATTTAATGTGGGGTATCCGAGCCCGTAGGTTTGGCCAAACATTCCATAGACCCCGTTTAAAGCGGGGTAGGGTAGCTGTTTTCCCGAGATGCGACTCTGCCCTTCGACATAGCCTCGTCTGTGGATCCTCTCTGCTCAGCGGCAGAGAGTTTGACCAGCACATCTGGAAACTAATCTCCAACTACAGAATATCTACTAACCGCCCCACGCGGTCAGATATGACACAAGGCCGAATTTAATGTGGGGTAGTCCGAGTTCGTTGGCTCAGCCAAATATTCCCCGTAGACCCCGTATAAAATGGAGTCGGGTAGCTGTTTCCCGAGACGAGATTCTGCCCTTCGACGTAGCCTCGTCTGGGGATCCTCTCTCTCCGGGGGCAGACAGTTTGACCAGCACAGATGGAGACGAATCTCCAACTGTAAACCAACATACAATATTTACTATTGTATTTATGTGAATGGGGACATACTCATTATCGTCCGTAGGTACACTACAACATAATAATGAATCAAGACGAACATGCTGGTTCGAATAGAAAAATATGTAATATTTCTACTTGCCGATCTCCTAGGTTATAATAGCGATATCAGTGATGCTATATGCAAATATATATGAAAAGACTACCTATTCATCGAGAATGGCATCAAAGCGTCAGACTTCCTTGGAAGGAAAGAGTCAAACTATCAAGAATCAGAATATGACACACTTATATCACTCATCACTCATTTCCTCTAAATGTGAGGAGGTATATACCGAAAAACATATTCTAACAGATGGTAGTGAAGTTGCCCCTATACGTCCCGCGATTTTATGGCATGAGTGCGAAGAAAGGACTAAATATCAACTGCAAGAAAGGCGGAATGCATGGTTGTTAGCAAAATGAAAAGCCCAACGTGCAAATTACAAATTATTAGGATAAAAGGCGTTGGTCAGATCCAGTGACAGGACCCGAAGAGTGAGTTCAATACCCGGTTAAGGCAGTGGTTAACCTTCAGAGGGAAATTAACTGGAGATAACTGATAACTGACATCCATCACACATGGCACGTGGAACTAGAACAGTCTACCCCAATGAGCGAAATAAAGGGTTAGGTTCGACATTCCAACCACCTGAAGAAGGCCGGAGCGTACAACGGCCGAAGCGTTGTGATAGATATGGCGAAAAATATGAGGACAATAGCCCGAATAATGTAAATAATGTACATAATATCTCATCTCAGAAATATAGACAGAAACTAAGAATTATTTTATCAGAGGACAGGAAATGTGATCCGAAGGCGCATTTGGGATAGCCAGTGATACATTCTAAAAGCTGAAAAAAGTGGTAGTCACTCCTTTGACCAATCATCTTTTTGATCTACATATTTATGTAAATCAAAAAGATGGTTGGTCAAAGGCCGAAAAACATTCTCAGATCATTTGTAAACATTTATGCCGATGATCGACTATATACCGATGCACCTCTAAAAGTTGATGATCAGATCAGCTGATCTCTCTTCCGATCTAGCACGAACTACCCAGTGGTGAAAAAACTGGCTGGTAACATTCAATGTCTCTAAAATCCAAACTAGTTACATTCCAATATCGTCGCTCTAACCCCGGACTACTGCCAGTCTCGATGAACGGATGTCCCCTCGAAGATATATCGTGCCTTGATAGGCTACTGGGCCTTAAACTCAAACCTGGCCTCAAGTGGACCTCATACATACGAACAATTGCTAAAGATGCGGATAAAATAGCCGGTTTTTTGTACCGCTCCAGTAAGTACCTGACGCAACGTGCTATCATCTACCTTTAAAAGAGCTAGATCAGTCCAGAAGTAGAGCACTGTTGTCATATTTGGGCGGTGGCTGCACAGATTGCACTCTCCAGCCTCGATAGAGTTGAAAAGCGTCACCGAGTCCTTGTGGGTGACGAATTATTTTCCACCTTCCAACCTCACAGGCGGGAACTGGCAAGCCACGCGCAGCTCTATTGCTACTTTCATAGAAATTACTCAGACTAACTACATTCCTTGGTTCTGCCAGTTCTTATCTTCACGGCAAGGATCCACCAAGCCACGCCTATTATAGCAAATCACCCACATTTCCTCTCTATTCGATCGGTGGGAAGTAAGTTCCATTCGAACAGGTTCTTTCTGCGAACTCCTGCTTTGTGAAACCGACTCCCTAGAGGATGTTTTAACCTGTTCAAGTCTAGGTTTAACCGGTATCTATACGTACAAACTGCCTCTTAATGTAACCTTCTACCTCGAGTGGCCTCCAGGCATTATACAAAGTGAATTTCACTGTAAAAAAAAATGTATTAAGAAACACAAAAAATCGTTAGAAACAAAGAAAAGATTACTGAACTGTTACGTCTGTTAGTCCTCCCGTATGGCTGTGAACGCTGGTCAATCACGTCATAGATGGAAAGGAGACATGAGGCAATAAATATGTCGTCCTACAGGAGGATACTGTGGATAACATAGACCGAACATGTGAGTAACAATGGGGTTTGAGAGAAAACGAAAACCAAAAGGACTCTTATACTTAACATCAGGAGGAGACATCTGAAATTTCTAGGGCATATAATGAATTGGAAAATTTGATACATCCAGGAGAGATTGAAGGTAAAAAAAGAGACACGGAAAGACAAGTCATAATTTACTTAAAGTGAGCTTGAGTAAATTGATGGCAGGGGGAGAGTTTGGGGGACATAACAAAAACTCAAAAATTATTAGGAGCTGCAAAGGACAGAAAATTTTAGAGAGCCATGATGGCCCATAAAGAACGGACACGGCAAGGCAAAGAAGAAGAAGAAGAAGAAGAAGAAGAAGAAGAAGAAGAAGAAGAAGAAGAAATATGATCTAGATACACCTGTGCAAGGGGATGAAAATAAAGACGATTCTAGCTTATTTGAAGGATGTTGGTTTATATTGCAAATTACAGCGATCAATAACCCCGTTCTAAAGGCATAACTGGACAGTGGTGGAACCACTGACCTTAAAGAAAGTTTACAAGACATATATTTAATAAAAAAATATTTCACCGTTAAATAACCGACGGAGTTAATATCCCATTACACAGAACAATTAGTCAATCTGAAATTAGGGGTTAATAATAAAGGTGCGTTTTTATCGCCATCTGTCACCAGAAAAGGACAAATCAACACCACCAACTCAACACCCTCGACTGTACACCGCCTGCCGACTTGGCGCCGGGACAACTCAGGACAGATCCAACCCAGAGAAATAGTATAGAGGATAGTAGAGAGAATCGCGATCTCTTAGACGTCACGTTAATTCCCATTTATACGTACCCTTTACGATCACGTGATATACTTATTTAATAATGGAATCGTCCACGTTTGCTCACTGGTATCTGTGTTTAAACAACAGTGTCAGCAACGATACTTTATTTCTATACAACAAATGGGTAAGTTGGAACTGACTAATCTAGTTTGGAAACATTTCCAGTAATATTATTTCTGAATGCGGCTTTTATTTTTCATTTGTTCTTGATGACGAGCCCAATCTTTTATGGACATTTTCCAACTGTTGCAATTATAAATGTGCATCTAGCATTTCACGGGGTTTTAAGAACTCTACATGAATCATTCCTCGATGATATCACCGTAAGAACTTATCATCGTTCTTGCATGGTGTTCAGATTTTGGATTTGTTGTGGAGATTTATTCTTGTCTATCCACAGACATTTTTATAATCATTTCACCCCACGCAAGGCGATAATGATGCCAATACACGAAGGGTTACTGGGAGTGTAAGAAAATGCAAATACTTTAGTGGCGAGAAATGACAAAAGAACTTGATTCATGAAGACAAAAAATATTGATTGTTGATTGCACCTGTTGCATTCTTAGGGAAAGTTTAGTTCGAATCATTCATTGGTCATTAAAATTGGTACCCAGAATGTATTGCGTCATCAATGATGTAAAATCTAAAAAAAATCCATGGAAGACAGGCTTTTTATATAGATTGAATTATTCCTACTTACCGATATGTTGTACCTCTCCCGCTTACACTGTTTATTTGAGCGCTCTTCAGAAAAAGAAGAGAGAAAACCTAATGATACTAAAAGCGAAAGACATTTGATACCGGCTTTGGCAATGGTTAGCGTTCAGCAACAGAATCTGGAATCTTCAGGAAAAAAAGTATCGTTCGCTGTCGCACCTATTGGTAGGCATTTATATAGTTCATGATAAAGTGCAGCTTGGCACACGAACATGTAACAAAGACAAAAGAGGAAAATGACTTAGACAAGAATGAAGAAGAGGTGCGAAAGCAGATGGTGATAGAGGAAGGGAGGGATAAAATGTGAAGAAAAATATGCCGAAAGGAAAAGACGCGAAGCGAAAATAGAAAACAATTGAAAGGAAATTAATATAAGATGACGGCTGAACGAGAAAAGACAATTGGGGATAGATAATTAGAATGGAAAAAGAAACTCAAAAGAAAAAGCGCGAAAAATGAAAAATGAATAAAAAAAAAAATTTAAATATCTTGCAACGGTGTCAATTTTCAAATGAAGTCGACTACCTAACCAAAATGTATGTTTCCCAATAGTCCTTTTCATTCCTTTATAGAGAGGATATTCCTTTATTTAGATTTTACTGCCTTTATTCCCTCGGAAGGTAAAACGATGATATTTCCAATGAAACAACCGTGGTCAAAATCTTAAAAAATATAAAATACTGTTACTTTAATCAAAATATATTTGCGAAACATTTACATTTAATTAGAAAACGTAGTTTATCAACAAGTGAACATTTTAAGCTCTCTCTCTCTCTCTCTCTATATATATATATATATATATATATATATATATATATATATATATATAGGGTCTAGGATAGACTTAATACTAGAATTCGTTCAATTCATTCAAATCATTTTTAATGTTTTTAGTTTCATAATTTTTATTATAATACATTTATTTTTAGGCCAAACACAACATTCCCTAGAACCGACAACCACCATATTCCCCAGATCTCGTCTCTTGCGAATTTTCCTCTTCAAAAACGAAACCACATTTTAAAGCACAAAAATTTGTAGGCATCGATGAAATTCCAAGACCATGTATTTAGGCCGCTTCTCGCTATCCCATAAATAGGAGTTCCAGTTATGCTTCCATCAATAGAAACAACTCTGGATAATGTGTGTGGCTTCAGAGAGGGTCTATTTCAAAGGAGATTAAATGCGGAGTAGATTTTTTTTTAGTTTTCATTTTATAACCCTGGTCTCTC